CCCGCCTTGAGAACAGAATAGCCCCCCAAGATACAAACCAACAGTCACCTGGTCAGAGTGGCCCACAGCTGCAAAGCCGGCGTAGATGCCCGTGACCGCCTCAGCCAGCGCAGCCCTGAGGCTATCGGCGTCGATGTTGGCCGTTGGAATGCCGAGCTCCTGCGAGTTCGAGAGACGTGAGGTTTTTGTGGTGATGTGGGTGGGTGGGGGTGGGGTGGGTTTTGGGATGATATTATGGGGTTCATTCGGGTGGGGCTTTGGGAGGAAGAACTATCATGACAACTGGGCTTGCAAGAACCATGTTGGGATGGGGTGTGATGGGGTAGCGTGGAATTTGGGTCGGTGTAGAGCCATATGCAGCGCGCCGCCCCCCGAGAGAGCCCACCAGGTTTACCCACCTTGGAGCCGCGCCCGAAGCCCTTGACCACCGTACCCCTAATCCTGAAGGGGTAGTCCAGCGGGATGACGCCCTCCACGACGTCGGCGAAGGGCGGCAGGCCCCAGGACGGCGCGTTGAAGGCCAGCAGGGAGGGCAGGATTTGTATGAGACCTGGTGGAGGGGTTAGCAGATCAGGTGTACGAGAAACTTTGTGGTTTCACAAGGAAATGCTGGAGGGATGCTAGGGGTTTCAAAACTCTTTCCGGAACGCGAACGTCAAGGGCTTGCAAAGCAATGGTGGACTCGAGTCACCGACGGCTTAGAATGTAAGCAAGATAATGTGTGGGGGCTTGGTGGGCGACGGACCGGCGATGCGAAGTCGGGGTTATGACGTGCTTCAGGCGGCAAGGGCCCCAACAGGCAGCACAGGCCAGGAAGATGGGGGCTACAACTGCGAAAGCTGACTGCAGCAGGGACACCACAGCGCCCTCGGCATGCATGGGGCGGCCTCGTGGCGGCACTCCAAACAGCAGGGGCTTGCTTAGCGGGAGAGGGGCTGGCCGGCTGACACGTGTGAGCTCGTGTGGGTGCAAGGTTCTCAAAGCCGCGGCGGCTCACCGGAGGCCGCGTTGGGCTGCGCCTGTGGGAATCCTGTGGTGCTGCCGTGTAAGAGCATGGACGGCACCGCCACCACCCGCATGCCCGCGGCCGCGGCGGCCTGGGGGAGCGACAGCGCACAGGGGCAATGCATGGTCGTATGTATGTGTGGAGGGGAGAGCGCGTCAAACCACAAGTCGTCGTTCTTGAGCGCAAACATGGCTGACAAGTGTGCCTGGCATTCAGCGAGGCGACAAAGCGACACCAAGGCGGCTGCATCTCAGGTTTGGCGTGCGGACGCTCGCCTCACATCAAACTGCGCGCCGCGTTGCCGCGAGCCGCGGCCGCGTTTGTGGGTCGCTCAGAGGGCTCACACCTCCACGCCGCTGGGCGCGTCCTCAAATACCAGGCACGCGGATGGCGGCACGTCCCCCAGCCGCCGCGCTGCCTCCAGGAACACGTCTGGTTGCGGCTGCGGTCGGTCGCAGGCGTGCGCACGCGTCGGGAGCGCGGGGCAAGGGGCGGCAAGGGGCCGGATGAGGCAGCGGGCGAAGCGGCGGAGGGAGGGACTGGTCGGAGGTGGGTTGACTGAGGTTGCTGCACATGGCTGTTGGTGTGTGGGACGGCAGGGTGGAGCAGGTGTCCTGCGGCCCGGTGGGCGCCCCTCCTGACCATACCCAACTCATGCTCCCTGAACCCATGGACCCCACTCCCCGAGACACAGATCCCCTCACCCCCCACCCCACCTTGCCGTTCTCCACCTCATCACCGCATGTGACGGCATCCAGCAGCTCCAGCAGCCACGGCTTGTCCGCGGTCTTCTTGCCTGGGGCAAGACGCGTGGTTTGGACGTGACGGGTTTACATAAGGTTGTGTGTGCGACGTGCGGTTGCGGGGGCGCAGCGACGACAGGGGGGGCGAAGCAAACAAGGCCAGCGTGGGGACGCGAGGGCTCGGGGAGGCGTTTTCTCCTGCGGCGGCGCTTGATGTGCGAGGTGGCCGCGCCGAGCGTGCACGGAGGCTCGGCGGTTAGGTGGGCATGCCGGGCACGGCCCAGGATTGGGGGATGAAAGCAGCTCGGCTGGGACGAGCGGGCGCCGCCTTGTGCGCCTGCCATGGTGCATGGTTCAGCGACAGCGCATGAGCTCGTGCGGGGCGGCGCCTCACCAAAGGTGGCGCGGGAGGTGGAGGTGGCGACCGCGATCTTGAGCCCCGCGGCGCGCGCGTGCTGCAGCAGCCGCCGGGCGCCCGGCAGCACCTTGGCTTCAGACCACCTGTTTACAAGATGCGGCCGGGGCGGGGCGGCGGGCGGCAGGGCCGGGGCGGGCGCATTTGCGGCCACCGCAAGCGCAGCTCGCGGCAGCCGACAGGGGTTGCGCCCCTTGGTTTCGCGCATGCCACACGCAAGAGCCTGCAAGCTTTGCCGGCACCAGGGCTGGGCAATTGACGCTGCCCTGCCGGCGCCCGTCGCGATCTCGGCTTCTGCTTCTGCTGCGCCGCACCTTGCGCTCAGCAGCGGCTCGCTCTCTTCAAACAGCTGCTCGGGGGTTACGTCGAGCCCGACGGCCTCCGCCACGCCCCGCCACGCGCACAGCGGCCGCCGGCCGAGCGCGGCGTGCTGCGCTTCGGGCGTTAGGGTCTGCAGGCGGGGCCACGCGGCCGACAGCGCCAGGGGCGGCGCTCGACGGACGCGGAGGCCGCGGCTGCCTCATGTGTGATTCGGGACGTCGCGGCGAGGCGCACAATCTGCAGGATTCAAGGCCAAGGCCGCGGCGCCTGCAGGTGCAAATGGACATCCTTTGCAGGGTGCTGCACACGCCCATCCCATGTACTGTACATCAAGCGCGCTTGTGAGCGCACGCACCTTGCCGTGCTGGGCCAGCACCGTCCGTGCGACTTCCAAGCACAGAGATTCTGTGTCCAGGATCAGGCCATCGAGATCCATCACAAAGGCCTGCAATGTAAAACCAAGGGGCGGTGGCTTTGATGGGGAAAGGGATCGCCGCCAACAGTGCTCGAAGACGGCGGCAATGGCAACACCAGTAGCAGAGGGGGAATTCAGGGGCACCCAAGCCGGGGCTTGACACTGCTGCCATATCTTCGAATATCCACACTGTGTCGCCGCAGGTATGGCCCATGCAGCACAGCTGAGACGCCGTGTCACCCACCCGAATGGGCGCCACAGCATCGCCCGTCATGGCGCCGCGCCGGTGTGTTGTGCTCGCGCGCTGGCTGTCAGGTGTTCCGTTGTGGCGTGCTGCAGATGAGCACACGATTGCAGATGAGTGATCGGTTCGCAGCAATGTACCACCCTGCCTGTACAGAAAGCAGGGGCTTTTGACAGGCTAGAGTCACTACCACTCTACCAGCTAACCACAGGTCGCTTGTCAGCTGTACGATACAGTTTAGGAGAAAATGTCTCGCGTCAAAAGTAAAGAAAGCAATTGACCCAAGCCTGATAGCGCAACTCACGCGATCCAGATCATATCAGACTGTGAGTGATCCAGTGTGCTTTACCCCAGCTGACGTGCTGCCGATCCGCCGTTGAAGTAATCACATAGAGCAGGGTATCGTACCAACAGCGTCAGAAGCCCGCCAGCAACAGGTGCATGGTGATGAGAAGAGGCGAGGCTCTCGTGGATGCAGCTGCCGGTTTGCCTAATGTAGTTGTTAAAGACATCTGAAGACTAAGGATGCGCTTGCAACCTCATACAGCAGGAGCCCCTCCCCTGATCGTCGGCACGCCGCGCGCCCCTTTGCCCCACCCATCGCCCGCTGCTGTCGCCGCAGACAGCCCAGGCGGTCATCTGCACCGGCAGCAGCAGCAGCAGCCGCGATGGCGCGCCGCTATGACAGCCGAACGACCATATTCAGCCCTGAGGGGCGGCTGTACCAGGTCGAATATGCGATGGAGGCGATCTCAAATGCGGGCGCCGCGATCGGCTGCCTAGCGAGCGACGGAGTGGTCCTTATCGCGGAGAAGAAGATCACATCAAAGGTGCGATCTGATATTTGACAGTCGTGCGCACAGGTTCGCTCAAACGCCGCGGTTGCAAGGAATATGGAAGCGGCGGGCGCGTGCGGTGCGGCCCCGTCACCGGGACGCGCTCATGTACTGCATTCACTCTAGAGGGCGGTGCGTCGAGGGGTGCTGTGCTGGCGCCCGCCATGTGAACGGCGCTGCGACAGCAGGCAGCAGCCAGTCCCTCTTCAAGCTGCCGCGCCGACCGCCCCGCGGCACCGCCGCCCTGCGCTGTGCCGCCCTGAGCAGCAG